CCCTCAATGTATTTTTAGAACGTGAATGTGGTATATGTTCTCGTGTGCTGTATATACAGAGCAGCTAAAATAAAACAGAGGCGTGGAAAACCCCAGCGAATACAGCAGCGCACAGGGCATCCAAAGCCTCAGTGCTCTGCCGGGTTCATTTATTAATATTAATTGCTCGATCTTTGTAATTTATATCATATGGAATTGCTGAATTGAAGGTTTACCAAACCTCACAGGGCTCCAAAATCTTCTATCTCAGGCATCTGAAAAATAGATCTACTGAATTTTTGTTCAGAGGAAGGGCCAGCATCATTCTGGGAATCCTCCACATGAAGTTTCTCTTTCTAAAGGCAAGCACTCTGGTAAATAAGTCATAGTAAAGCATGGCTTTACTCAGTGGGTGCTCAGGTGTGTGCAGAAGGCCAGAGGGTTACAAGAGAAAATGAAATCTTTACTAAATCTTGTCTTGCTTTTATCTATAAATAGAGGGAGGGAAACAAAAATAAATCAGCTGTGATATTGACATCAAATAGAAAATCAGTCCTTTTCCCAGGGGTAAACTTGTCCAACGTGACCTGAAAACTTCCTAAATTTTGCCTTTATGGGGTGGGGTTCTTCAGCTGCGGTCTGTTGAATCAGTACAAAGTGGGCCTGCTTCTCCTCTGCAACGGGCTTGGCACCAGTGTAACTTCATTAACAGAGCAGCTTTGCATTAATGAGAGGAGCAATCAAGAAACTCAGGTTTTGAGGAAGGCCCCTGTAGTAATGAGGTGACAAGTCGTGATTCCTCCCCTCATCAGCCCCAGTGACACCACCCTTACTCACCCGGAGTGGCACTTCACTGCGCAGGTGCTCCCTGGATGCTTCTGTGACTGCTTGTGTACTACGGTGCCACTCTGGGTGAGGTAGAGCATGTTTTTCTCAGAGCTATTTTATTCCCTTTCCTTGAAATGACAACGCGTTGGATAACTATTTTTATCTTGGGCCACGAAGAAAACTTCTGAGGATTAAATGTAAATCTGCTTTGTTAAGTGACCGTACCAAAACCTCTCCCTGTTTAAGACTTCTGCGCCGCCAAGTGAAACGGGCAGGTAAGTTTTCTGTGCGTTTTAGCTTTCCCTCGTTGCTACAGAAAGTAGGAAAAAGATTGTTGAAAAATTAATTATCTTCTCCTGAAATTCCTCTGCGCCTGTGGGATTCCACACCTGTATGCGGTGCTCAAGTTGGAGTTGTTTTCCTAATTCCCCCCAGACGTACACATGGCACTGTTAAAGTGTTTGCTATTGAAATCACTGGCAGAAGGATCAGGCCCTCGGCTGGTTTTCTTTACAGCAGTTGTTAATGACTTGGATGTGGTGTTGTAGAAAAATGATATTATCTGGTGTGTCCATAGCTCAGATCCGCTGTCTTACTACAGTCTCTAAGAAGAAAGCTCTGTGCTAAGTAGCCTGTAAAGAAAATGTCTAACAAAGCAGAGTTGTCTTCTGCCTTTCTGCGCTTATTTATAAATCTCTTGAAAGTTTGTGTGATACTCTTTCAGAACACGACAAGATCCCTGCATGTTTGTTTCATGTTTTCATTTCCTCGTATGACTGTGTTCATTGCTAAGCCTTTGTGTCACTGATTGAGATGGTATTGTAATTAACATTAATTATGCAAACTAGATTGTTTTTAGAGGCTCTCCAACTCTGTATTGATACTGTCAACTTGTTTGTTTGTTGAACAAAAATCCACGCATTTCACCGTTCTCAGAGGAAATAGATTAACCGATTCCAAGTTAATACATGCATGGGAAACCATAGCAAAAAATCAAGTAGTATTAGCTCAAATGGCACACTGAATCTTGATGGATGTGGTGAACCGAGTGTGGCTGGATCTGAAATATCAAGGCAGGGCAAACAGGGGGAGCAGGAAAGGAGACTCGAGGTACAGTCATCTGGGGAGGGTGTTTACACTGCAGAGTCCCATTACATTTTTTCCAGACAGACAGTACTAGGATCAATTGGGCCAAATTCTGCCATCCCTAATTGAATGAAATTCTCACTAAAATATACTGGAGCTGCCTGCTTGAATTTTTTTGAGAAATGGAGAAAAATAGCAGAGTTTACTTCATTAAATATTTAGGACATTTTTGATTTTAGACTTGGAGAAGATATTTTCCTTAAATTTGGTTTAGAAGGTGTTCCTGGTTTGTCTTTTTAAAAGAAAAGCTTAATAAAAATATCTTTGAAATATGCATCCGTGTAGCAATGGTAACAGTTTATAGTTTTTTTACAATGTTAATTGTAGTGACATCCACAAAAGGCTCCATGTCTGATTCTGAATCACCCTCTTGAAACCCTTTTGAGCTGAGAAGGATTTTAGAATTTCTCCCTAGAAGTCACAATTGTTGCAATATTTGTATTTTGTATTCTTCTGTACTCTTAGGAAGAAAACCAATAGAGGTGGGGACAGTTTAAATGGGAATTGGTTGTCATGATATCACATCTGAAAATATATGCAGACTGGCAGATTATTCCCCGTCTTAAAAATCAAGTCTCTCTAACTTCTCATTTAAATAAACAAAATTTGGTTTGCAGCTTGCTTTGGGTAATAAAAGAGATTTTTTTTTTTTGTTTTGTTTTTTTTTTTGTTTCTACTTTTGGTGCAGTGGTCCTCTGGAAAGTTAGAAACGGCGCCCTGGGGCTCAGCAGAGTGGAGGGTGTATAATTATATGGGAAGGCTCCATAGCATCAGTGAATTAGCATTAGCAGCTGACTGAGTTTGTTAAGTTGTAGAGATGGCATTATGGAAATCAATAAAATTCTGATTTCTTTTCCTTATTGCAGATTCCTTGTTAAAAGGAAAAGATGCTATTTGTTTGTCTGCCTTTCATGTAGGCTTGCCAAACCATTAGTTGATTTGGAAAGGCAGGTTTTTCAGTTCTGGCAATCGGCAGTCAGGTTTGTTTTGTTTTGCTTTTTTAAAACTCTTTTTAATCTCTATTTATTAGATTGTCTTCCAGAAATCACGCTAACATCCTGGCCTGCAAGTGGCTTCATGTGTGTCTGTCAGCAGAGGCAGAAGGGAAGGTCACTTATTTTCCTTATGACATGCTGGTGTGGCACTGTTTGTTGTAGCCCAAAAGCTCTACGTTCCTGTTTCTGCTTTAAATTAAGTTCTCCCAAGGATTTGGAGGATACCGATGCTGAAATCCACATTCAAAATAAAAGAGAAATAGTGCCGTTAACTGTTTTCAGAGGTGTGTGTCAGGAGGAATGATATTAAGTGCTGTAAGATGTATAATATGCGTTGGCCTTTATTTCTTTGTCTCAAAGCTTCTCCTGCTTTTATACCAGAGATACAAGTACCCAGATCATTCATCACACTGAGACATGACAGACCACCAGCCTTATGTTGCACGCTGTGGAACATGTACGATGCATTAGGCTCTGATGATCTATATAAAACATTTTAATTGGGAGGAGCTGTGATTGGGAACGGCTGTCTTCTCATCCAAGGCTTTAGCTTTTTCTTCTCTTCTTCCCGATTGAAATGAAACTTCAGTTCACCACCAGATTATTCTGGTTTAATGTGGCTGTATGCTATGACTCTGATGAAATGGTTTTTCATGCTAAAGTACAGTGCGGGGGACCCTTTTGTGGTGGATGCTAATTTGGTGGATTTTCTGGAGCTAAGAAGGTCCAACCCTGCAGCTTCCTCGAGGATGCAGTGGGGAGCATCTGTTGTGTGACACGTGAGCAGCCTATGTAACAGAGCTGGGATGTCACGAGGCTTGTGGAGCACCTTCTTGTATGAAGAGAAACACTCCGAAATGCTGGCTGCATGATGCAGGCAACACTGAAGATCAGCAACTTGGAAAATTAATACTGTGGTGCATGTTGATGTTTCAGGGGGAATTCTGATGGAGGCGTGGTCCCAGCAAAGGTAAACTCATGGGTCTGGCAGCAAAGGTGGAGTAGCAGCCTTGCTCTTATCTCTTTGGTAACCCAAAGCTGTTTGCTGATAAACTGGCAAAATTGTGTTTATAGTTTCCCTATGCTTTGTTTCTGTTAATCTCTAATTAAGTGGATCCAGGGAAAGCCAGCATGGTGCTTTTAGTGCTCCACTACAGCTTAGAAATGACACTCTGCTTTCTAATGATTACAAGTAGGTGAAGTGACAGGAAGGGCAGAGATGTTGGAGTAATGTGATCTGGAATTAAATTCCTGATTCTGTTAAATATTTACTCATAGCTGTAGTGATCCACAGTACTTCATATCTGCCATTGGCCACATGTGTCCAGTTAAGGACAGTTTAAAAGCACAGAAATCCGGGGGGGAAGAAAGAAAAAAGGATAAAGAGACCTTAGCTGAATCAGAACAAAATCTCTTTAGCTCCTACCATTTGAAATAGGGAGGAATCCCAAGAAATAACAAGGGTAAAGTCTCTCACAGCTGCAAGATGACTGTAGTGATTGTGACTCTGAACAAGCAGGTTCTAGATAGAGAAGGAATTGTAGTTACTCTGTGGTCTTGTCATAACCCTGTAATGTGGTTAAAGCATTAGTTCTGGAAACAAGTACATTGAGAGCTTGAAGTCGTTTCCTTAAAAAGGTACCAGTCTATATTCATGTATTTTCTGTGGGCCAAAATAAAATACTGCTTGTTGGATTACCCAATTTCAATATTGTTATTAAAAAAAAAGAAATGCATCCTATTTTCCATCTGTCAGATTAAGTTAGCTATTCCTATGGATGCCTTTTTCTCTTTTATCTTTGTTTGTTTGTTTCCTTCTAAGAACCTTTACATCATCTGCTTTCCTACTTTCTGTCCTACTGAATTCCTTTTTCATTGTTGTTTTGATTCCTTCCACTTGATTCTGGAATGTTTTTTTCAATTTGTTATTGTTCCTTCCTAGCCTTAATCAACTACCAGTGCTGCTGCTTGCTTGTAGAATCACAAGGTCCGTGTTGAGGAGTGTCATGCCAATAATATTTAGTGTCCTCTGTCCTCAGGAAGGGAAAGGTTTACCACTGCTGACCTGTAGTCCCATGGAAAAGGTGAAGGGAGAGCCTGTTGGAGGTGTGACTTGGATCAGTGCAGTCATTATACCCAGGTGTCATCAGCTTCCAGTGCCCTGTGCTGTAGCAAAGCAGGTTTTTTGCTTCTTCTCTCCTTTGCAGAGCTCACTTCTTTTTGTTTGCTTGTTTTTCTGCTTCTCTTTATTTGGCTGTCTTTTCTAATTTTGTCTTTTTTCCTCTGTAATTTGTAATAGCTACTGATGACCTCTCAAACTGCATCACAGGAGTGTTAAGGCTAGTGCTTTCCCTCATCCTCTCTGGAATATTTGGCTGTTGCCAAAGAAATTGAGGTCAGAATCAGTGTCTCTTTAAGTACCATGCACCAAAAGTGTATGTACATGTGTTGAAGACAACAAAATACTGTTAAAAAAAAAGTCAAGATTTGTAAAGTTAAAAAAGCTAATATTTGTTTTAAGATGCATTGTGAGAACTAAGGTGTAAAATGATATAATGAATAAAGGCAAGGATGCAGCCTTTTTCAAGTGCCTTTAAACCTTTTTAAAGGAACACATCAGTTCTTTGCTGGACCTACTCAACTGAAGGAAGGTGAGCCATCCTCCTTCCTGTGAGAGGGAACAAATCTGATAGAGCTGAGGTCTTTAGGCCTGGTGGTGGTGGTGATTGTTGCCTGATGTCAAGTGAAGGAAGTAGTGGCAGATATGCAGTGGAAAAATGCCCAGGAACAGGCATTCAGCCAATCCAAGGAGGCTGTTTTAACTGTCCTTTGATTTGGAATATTTTTAGTTCAGATATTTCAGTGCAAATTCTAGAAAAGGCAGTTTCTCTCTTTTCAGATAGGCATGCTACAAAAATCTGCCAATCTTGAAAAATCCAAAAGAGGGAGGAGGTAAAAAGTAAATCTCAGATACAGTTTTCTTCTGTCCCTCCTGCCATGTTCAAAATGATATCTCATCTTGTTCTTATCCTTGTTCAGAATAAAAGCTGTGATAATCCATTTCCTTTGCTGTGATAATCCCTTGCCCAAATGTCCTGGTAGCATTATTTGATTTTGGTGCTTGGACAGCTATC